AAAAAAATTCGAATACTTTTCCTTTTCGTTCTTCTAAGTTTTCGAAAGTATTTTTTCAGATTCAGTATTAAAAAAGAGTATATGAATAATGCGTGATCGAGGTCGAAGTCAAAGACCTATTGATATGGACGGCTGGGACTCGTTCTGTAAACAGTTCATATAACAAACGCATTCAAACACGGTCTTCTTCTATCTTCATAAAAAGGAGGTGGTATCAGAGCCCGAAACGGATCAGGATTTTCTGAATCGATTCGATTGACAGTACTATAATAAATATAATATGCATCGCTGACAGAAGAAGAAGAAGAAAGAAGCATAACCATACTGAAAATTGGTGTAGGGCGAAGATCAGGAAGAATGAGAAAACAAAACAAAGGAGGCTTCTAAGGTCTTGAATTTGGTTGCGTTCAAGAGAACGTTTTATCATTAACTTAGATAATATAGATAAAGCACTTTTCGGTCGAAATTGCCTTTGCCTAACTTTTTGCCTTCAAAGCGGTTCCATTAAATATTTTGTGTTATACATCATTTGTTGAGCTACTTTGAGCTGATTCGAAATATGATAGTTGCTTTGATCGAAATGCTTCTATGATTGAAAAAATCACCACAGTATCGGAGAACCTGCTCGACAGAAATATCAGCGCTAATATTTTTAATTTGATAGTTCTTTCACATGATTCACATTTTGAACGAGGTTGAACTTCGGAAAATCATTTTACTGAGCACTCATTTTGCGATAAACCACCCTGAGAACAAACAGTTTTTCACTCAAGACTTCTGCGAGAAATAACGATAGGTTGTTCAAATTCAAAACTTTTAGATTAGAACTTCGTTAATCAATTCGGAAAAACGTTTCAGATAACTCAAAATCTTAATGAGTTTTCTAAAAACTAACTCCTTACTCTATCCTCCAAAAGATTTTTAGCTTTCTGTCTTGTTAAAAGACGTCTGCCGATCTCCTGCATCGATCCTTATAATTTGAACTGGATAGTAGCGTGGCAATGCCCGCGTACAATCATACCTTATTTTAGGATTCATGTAAATTCTGAATGAAATCGGATTAGTTCTAGATTACTTAAAAGAGAATTGGAGATCATTGAAAAATTAAAAGACCTGAATATTAAATTAATAAACTTTGAAATAATAATAACCATTGAAGCACTTCTGTCTTTTTTGTCGCTTGTTTAGTTACTCGTAAATGAAGATTAAAGCTTTTACTTTAATTATCCAAGCATCTCATCTTTTTCGAAGTATAATCTAGTAGTGGCTTTTAAGAGACAAAATGATTTGTTGTTTAATGGTATTTGTTTTTCAGCTTTGAGTACACAAGTATCAATACAGTACAATCTGTTATATGATAATTCTGTTTATTGAGAAGATGATTAACATCGATTCTGTTGCAAAAATTCTTCATATCAATTTGACAAATCAGTCTGTGAAAAAGCGCAATATCACAGTTTTGGGAAGTGCTGCCAATACTCATGGTATCAAACATGATAAACTGAGATGGCGAATTCATATAGAAAAACTTGTGCGAACCTGTTAGCAACGCCTTGGAGCTATGAACAAAATAGTAACCTACACGTACATCTCTTGAATAGGATGAAGAGAAAGCAGTGGGTTCCGCTTTTGCACGGCTCTCGCTGGCCTGTTGACGTGTGTGGCACAACAAATTTGTGTCAAAATCGAATTAGACGGAGAATACAAAGTTACACATGCTCACTCCAAGTACAAACACAAACCCGAACTATTGCCATCGTCCAAGATTATTTTCATGTTAAACGATCTCAATGCTGATGAACAACGAAATCTCGTCTTTCAATTACATGTACCCAAAGCTGAAGATGAACGGCCTGTAGAGATGGCTAGCCAAGAACCGATGTCACGGAATCAAGCTCAAGAGGATCAACAATCTACCGAGAATCATGTCATTGGTAAGTTCGAAGGAAAATCGTCATTTTTCTTTTGCTTTACTTTGACCAAAATTTGATGATCAACTCTCAGAATAGAATCACAACATTCAGGAGAACTTTTGAATACGTGATCGTCGTTCACAGCTATGTGAGACAGTTGAACAATTGTTCAGAATTCGAAAGTAAAATAGTAGGGTTTGTAAATTCTCAAGCATTCCTAGAAGGATGTGGAACAAGAACTTCCATTCGGATATCCTATTCTATTCAGTCTTCAATAGTGAATACAAATTCTGGCATTAGATTTGATTATGAGTGAAGATAACCGAAACCATTTCCCAACAGCCTACAAATTGCTGTTCTCTTCAAAGTAAAGTGAAATAAAGTCCCCACTAATATGCTGACCCGTTCGGTTATGTAGATCTACGTATCATGAGCCTGATTTTTGTGAAAATGCTCTCAGTTGATCTTGTGGCGGCTCGTTTTTCATGAGAAAAGGTAAAATGAAAAAGTGAAACTTTGGTGATAAATTGACTCAAATGATTGATTGATATAATCGAAATAAGATATTAACTTAATATTATTTACATGTGATTAGGTCACGTATCAATCGAATACATGGAGCCTAATAGTGGTCGCATCTAATCACTGTGCCTGTTTCCTTCCAACTCATTCGAGCCTCTCATCTGTCATCCGATCATCTTAAAGTCAACTACAAGCTCGATACTCAACGGAACCGAGTGGAAACCGCTCTCGTACTCAAACAAGCTATGGACGAAGTTGACTATAGTCAATCGCTTTCTCTTCTCAAAGCTCAAGTGGAAAGGATCAAGGCTAGTGTATCTGCTCAAGATCCATTCTGTCAGCAGCTGATCAAGGATCTAGAGTATAGCTTTCCATCAGAACAGGAATATCGTTCGTCGCGTAGTAATGCTTACAGGCAACACGAAACGGAACGTGGCACGTACACCACAACGTCCACCACCAGTGTGCAACTATATATGACTCCGCAACAAAAATCTCAGGTCGCTCACTCCATGAATAAATACACTTAGAAATGGCAACGAAATATTATTAATACCCTGGATTTTCTCATTCTTGTTTAAATAAAGAACTGACCTTTCAGGCCATTTTACGTACATAAACCAACGATATGTCATCTTCTAATCACACTTAGTTCTGAACAGATTTCAAAGAGAGCTCGAAAAGTATTGTTCCGTTTATATAACAGAATGAGTACCCTGTCTGAATCAACGCTAACTGCGAAGAATCGATACCAAGGGAGAACCATCGTACTTCGCAGTACTTCTGAAAGCACATAGCTAAGCAGTCTCGGATAATATTGAACAACCAGTTGCGCGTAGATCTGCTGGAATGATAGGATGCGATCTCTAAGTCTCTTGATTTTCTTCTCTTTGCTCATTCCATTTGATCCAACGGAAAGAGCGTCGGTTATCGTTCCGTTTCTGGAACTGAGCAGTCTTCTGTTGTCTTCGAACATTCGAA